ACCTCACTGAAATTACTGGAGTCATAAGATACGTACCTAAAGACTTAAGCAATGAAGACATATACAAAAACATTACCTGCGATGCAGAAGTCATCTCCGTCAAGAGATTTATGCGAAAGGTAGATGGAAAGCTCACTCCGCTGGGGACCATTGCAGTGACCTTCGCTGCAACAGCGCTGCCGCAGCACGCCTACATACAGATGTTCAGATACCCGGTCCACATATACATACCTCCGTTACTACAGTGCTACAAATGCCTGAAGTTTAATCACTCTGCAAAAGTCTGCCGAGGTTCTCAAAGGTGTTCTTCGTGCTCTGGACAACACTCCTACAAAGAATGCGACGTCGAAGAAATTGTGTGCATCAACTGTCATGGTGGTCACTTGGCCATCTCTAGGAACTGTCCAGTGAAGCAACAAAAGATGGAAGAGAAGAAGAATAAGTATTTAAAACCAAACCGATCATATGCCACTGTGGTGAGTATCCCAGCAATGCCCGACCCAAAAGCATTCCCAAACCTTAAACCTGTAAAGACTGTTGATACTGACATAAATAAAGTATCATATAATGCTGAGCAAATACTAAACAACGAGTTAATTATTAATGCGATAGTCAAATCATTAGTTATGCTTGGCAATGACAAGAGCAGCGCTCCGATTACAAATAAAAGAATTAAAGACATACTTTTAAGTAATTTAATATTATAATGGATACATATTTGAATATAGCACAATATAACATACAGAGCTTACAGAGCAAAAGGGCCTTACTTAAAAAATTTCTTTCGGAACAACATATAGATATCTGTCTCTTAAATGAAACCTGGCTTAAAACAACTAGTACAATTCCCGATTTTTCACCCTATAATTTTATACACAAAAACTCAATAAATGAACATAACGGAGTAGGTATATTAATTAAACAAAACTTAAAATACACCATTGTAAATACAACTTTTTTCGAATCTGTGCAAAATATTTGCATTTCCGTAGACACAACTATGGGTAAGTTACATATTCTATGTGTATATTGTCCTCCCAATAGCAGCAGGTCTGCTACAAGCAAAATGAAAAAGGTGCTACTTGAAACTCCTAAGCCATGTCTTATTATGGGAGATTTTAATGCTCACCATATCCTGTTTGGATGTCAGACAAATAATAATAGAGGTAACAGTTTATATGCACTTATTGATGACTTTGACTTGTGTATTCTGAATGATGGTGACATAGCTACAACTGTCCAGTATCCTAACAGAAATCAGTCGGCAATAGATTTAGCTCTGGTTAGTTCCGCATTAGCTCCTCTTTGTGAATGGCACGTCCATGACGACCCGATGGGCAGTTACCACTACCCAACTGTGGTCGCTCTAAATGTGAAGCCTTCTGTATATGAAGTGCGTCCTGCGGAAGAAAAATACATTTATAATAAAGCAGATTGGTCTAAATATCAAGAACTATCAGAAACGAGATTTTGTAATTTAGAAATACATGGTACCGAACCTATTGATTTGTATAATAATTTTGTAAATATTTTGTATGATATTAGAGCAGAGACTGTTCCAAAGCAAACACCACAACAAACTTTAAGGGTAATGAGAAAACCTGCACCCTGGTGGAACCAAACATGTGATGATGCTGTTCGAAAGTCTAAGGAGGCCCTCAAAGAGTATAGAAAATCGCCTAGTATTCCTAATTTCATTAACTACAAAAAACTTGATGCTCAAAAGAAAAGGATATTAAAAGAAGAAAGTATTAATTCATGGCACAATTTATGTACTAGTTTTAATAGAATGACACCTATTTCTCGAATATGGAACTACATGAAAAGGTTTAGAAGGATAGGTTCTTCTCATAACAGATATTTGGCTGACGATTGGATACCAAGCTTCTTAGACAACATAACAGACTCATCACAGTTAAATGAAGATTATTTGAATGATATTTTAGATCAATCTGTTGAAAATGAAAGTAACTCATTTCTCAATAGACCATTCACACTAAATGAATTGTACATAGCACTCAAAAGTAGGAAAGATACAACACCAGGGTTGGACAGCATACCATATATGTTAATAAAAAAATTACATCCTAATGCGCAAGAAATGTTATTAAGTATTTATAATAAACTTTGGAATAATTTAGCTATACCAGAGTCATGGAAAACCCAATGTGTAATCCCCATTTTAAAGCCAAATAAAGCTGCTAATGATCCATCATCATACAGACCTATTTCTTTGTCATCATGTTTAGGTAAGCTTTTTGAAAACATGTTAAAGTTGCGTCTAGATTATTTTGCTGAAACACAGGATAAACTACCTCACATACAATTTGGATTCAGAAAAGGCAGAAGTTGCTCTGAAAGCTTTGTATCTCTGATATCGGAACTTAAAAAGGCCAAACTTAGTCATTCTAATGTTATATGTGTATTTTTAGATGTTAAAGGTGCCTTTGACAATGTTAATATTGAATGCCTCATAAAAGTTTTGCATGAATTGAGCTTGCCAAGAAATGTATTAATCTGGATTTTAAATTTCTTGCATGATAGGACTCTTTTTGTTAAATTTAACAATAAACTACATGGACCTAGGCCTGTTAACAAAGGAACAATGCAGGGAGCGACACTTTCACCTTTGTTATATAATTTATACACATCTCAGATACTTAATTATGTAGATACATCACAAGTTAAAATATTACAGTTTGCAGACGACTTACTTTTATACAGTGAAAACCAGAATATAAATACAGCAATTAATAGAATTAATACTGCATTGGCACAATTGCATCTTTATTATAGCAACATTTTAAAATTAGAAATAAGTTCTGAGAAAAGTAAAGTTTTAGTATTCAGTAAAGACAAATTTGTAAACTCTGGAATTAAAATTAACTATAATAATGATACAATTCCTATAGCCAATCATCATAAATTTTTAGGAGTTGTGCTAGATGATAAACTGAAATTTGATAAGCATATCAACTATATCTGTCAGAATGCCATGAAGAGCATAAATGTACTAAGAAGCTTAGCAGGAACCTTTTGGGGGTCTGATCCAAAAACACTTAGCATGCTGTATAAAAGTATTGTAAGGAGTCACTTTGACTATAGCTCTCTAGCTTACATGAATATTAGTAGCACATTGTTAAGAAAATTGGATGTGATACAGAATATGGGTCTGAGAATAATCAGTGGAGCCATGCGCACCACTCCTATTGTTTCTATGGAAGTTGAAAATTGCATACCTCCATTGTCCTTGCGGCGTTTGCAGTTGGCTGAAAGGTTCTGTTTGAAGGAGTTGTCTTGTAACAATGATATTGTCCTGAGTAATATTTTATATCCTGCAGAAGTCTCCCAGTTAAATGGAACAGCCAACATCTCGGCTAATACTCTTATTTCGGGTACATTGCCTGAAATAACAACAATAACAACTTGTGTAAAGAATCAGACAAGAGATATGTACATCAGTAACAAGTGGCCTATTTACAAATGCCCATATGATACATTACTTAATTATCTTGATATAAAATGTCATTTAAATTCGGTTAGTACTAAGAATGAATTCTTAGAATTTTTAAATGAAAAGAAAGACTTTTACACTATATATACTGATGGCTCCAAGAGTGATCTTGTTAAAGCAGCATTTTATGACCCACAAATGAAAGTTATTAAATGTATTAAGTTGCCAAGTAATTGTAGTATTTTTACAGCAGAAAGTTGGGCTATATTAGCTGCTTTGTCGTATGTAAATACCAATGTAAATAGTGTAAATATCTTGATAGTTAGTGATTCTAAAAGTGTTTTATCTGCTTTATGTAACTGTAATTTAGTATATAAACAGAATTATATTTTGTATAAAATTAAGGATAAGCTGCAAACGATTGGAAAATGTATAGAATTCTTATGGGTTCCCTCACACAGTGGCATAGTCGGAAATGAGATAGTGGATCAGGCGACGCGGCAAGATCACCACGAAGACCAAACACAAGATTGTAAAGTCCCCTTCACAGATTATTATCAACACTTTAAAATCTTGTCAAAGAAACTGTGGAAGGATTACTGGAACATTACTACCGTGAATAAGGGAAAATGGTACGCAGAATTACAGCCAGACTTACCAACGATTCCGTGGTACAACCGCTTTAAATACACAGGCCGAAAGTTCATAACGACCATTAACCGCTTGCGGTTTGGCCATTGCCTCGTCCCTGCACATCTGTACAGAATGAAGATCGTAGCTGATGACAAATGCACACATTGCGCTCAACATAATGCAGACATAAACCACATAATTTTCCAGTGCCCATCGTTTGGGATTCAAAGGTTGACACTTGTCAGTGAAATTAGTGATGTCGCTGAAGAAAATTCTATAAGTGTTCCCCGCCGCGTTCAGGATCTATTAACTGATGTAGCTTTTTTCATGCCTCTATTTAAATTTATACTTAATACTGTAGGAAAACTTTAATTATTTATGTGTCCTTAATTAATTGATAATGTTTGTAAATAGCTTCTTAGCTTATTTTGTAATTTAGTCTGTTCTATATTTATATAATAGGGAAAAAGTAGAAAAATGATGGAAAACCATTCTAAATTGTTATTGCTGAAGTTAAATATTCTTAATTTGATGTATGATTTGTGTTATACTGTAATGTTTCCGACTGAAGGTCCTCGCAACCATGGTCACGAATAAATTAAAAAAAAAAAAAAAATATGAAAACGATTTTCCGAAAGCTATTTTTATTGATTTTTATAGGCAATTACTTATGTACTTTTTTGATTTTTATTAGAAAGTGATAAAACATTTCGCAATATAAAAATAACAATGTTTTTTTCCTTTTTTATGTGAATCAGTGAACGCAAAATGTGAACACACAAATTATATTTTATTATACTTTAATATTATTTATTTTTAAAATTTTAAATTATGCAGCTTTTTATGATTTTTAATTATCTTTATATTATGTTATTTTAATTCAAGTATGTAGGTAGGTACTTAATTAATGATCATGACCACACAAGAATTTAAACCCGACGAAGAAAAATCTGATTGTGAGAATTTGATAGTAAAAGATGAAGTGGCTATAGAAAACACATTGTCTCCTTTAAAAATGGGGCCACCTTTGATTACAAAGGTGCCTAAAAGGTTCTTAAGTTTTTTTAACATTAGAATTATTCGTTTCTTAATTTTTTTCCCTTAGTATTCATTAGTGAGTGGTTACTGAATATTAGGTAATAGGTATGTATCTAAGTAAAAGTTATATAAAAAATAATAATTTGTGTAGGACATAAAACATAAGTCATTGTTCAATCTATACATCTATACAAATAAATACAATTGAAGTGAATTTTTACTAAATGCTTATGAAAGTGCATACAAATTATATAATTAATACATAATTATTCTTTAATTAATCTTAATTAATCCATAATTAATCCACACCATCTGGATGATTGGCGGTCCACCACTGTGCGATTTAGAAGATGTTTTCTTCCTCGCACGACTTCCTTGTGGAATCGATTACCATCAGCGATTTTTCCTCACCGATACGACTTAGGGACCTTCAAGAAAAGAGCGTACTCCTTTTTAAAAGGCCAGCAACGCATCTGCGATTCCCTCGCTGGTGTTGCAGCTGTTCATGGGCGGCGGTAGTCATTTACCATCAGGTGAGCCGCATGCTCGTTTGCCCCCTCTCCTATAAAAAAAAATTACCTTCAGTTTTAAAATCAAAACTTTCAACAAGCTTTATGTATGTATAGGCTCTAATGACTTGAAAGAAATTATGTATTATGGTAATATTTTATTTAGTTGTGTTTTGATTTTAGCCTCATTGTCACCTAATAACCGCCAACTCCTTTCCCACCAAGAAGCCTCAAGACAAGGCATAACAGACCAAAGACTTGGGGGAAAGGTGGTTAAAAATAAGCTGAGCGGAAAAGGTTTAACATTAAGTTTCAAAGGCCGGCAACGCATCTGCAATTCCCCTGGTGTTGTGGTTGTTCATGGGCGGCGGTAGTCACTTACCATCAGGTGAGCCGCATGCTCGTTTGCCCCCTCTTATAAAAAAAAAAAAAACAAACAATTATTGGTCACTGATATAATATTATGACTAGCAATATTATTTAAGAGAGATAAATTTCGATTGGCATTTCACAATGGATCCCCATCTCGTAAGACTTAACAACTGGTTGAATCATTTCGAGTGTGATGACCAATTACACTGATGTCTTGCAATCTATTTCAACAGCAACAACTGAAGATTACATCAGTGCTATTAGTATAATGTAAAATAGTAGTATGTATGGATGCAGGTGGCTCTAGACCATACTTTGTGGCATTCCTTGGGGGAGGCCTATGTTCAGCGGTGGACTTGTGAAGGGCTGTAATGATTATGATGATGAAAGTAGTAGTATAGTTAAGTAATCAGTATAGTATAATTGTTCACAGGACAGAGGTTTTTTTTTTCGAATAAGTGGTAAAAGTAAAAAAATACTAATAAAAAGTAAGCTACCTTAGGCATTAGTATGAATCAAATAAAAAAAACTATTACATGAATATTTAGAGGTTAGGAATCTTTGTATTAGATGGGTAGGTACCCCATAATATGATTGGAGATAAAAAAAACCAAATTTACAACGGAGTGCACAGTGAGTGTTCCTTTTGCCAATAAAAGTAAAGAAAGAAGTCAAGATAAAAGATAGTCGCCTCATTCATTAGGACTGGTAATAGAGTGAAATTTATGATGGGCAAAAAGGTAGGTTTGGCAGTAATGAGTAATCCTGGAAAAGGAGCGAGCTAAAAGTTTCAATTAGTTTCAATAAGAGAAAGGCATAAATAGAAATATGGGGTTAGCCACATTAAATCAAGTCACAAAGATCCATAACAATTTTTATACAACTACTAAAAATAACAATATTTGGTAATTTATAAAAAATTAGAATAATTGTATATCACCCAGCTTACTATTTTCTACCGACTTCAAAAAAGAGGAGGTACTCAATTCGACTGTATGTTCTTTTTATGTGTGCTACCTCATAATTTTTTTCTGGGTGGACCGATTTCGATGATTCTTTTTTTATTTGAAAGCTGGTGCTTCTCGTGTGGTCCCATATAAATTTGGTCAAAGTCTGACCAATAGTTTTTGAGTTATTCTTAATAATCTATATTGAAGTTGGTTGTACAAAATTTTTAATTTTAAATTATATATAAGTGCATCACTCTATGTTGTCACTTAAGTCCCATAAAGTTAACTAACTCTGCTCCGTGAATTCCGATCTTGAATTATCTCTAATTTTTAAAATAATAATTTTTAAAGTGATTTTCGATCTTGAATTTTATCTCTAATTTTTAGACCAAAAATTGACCGCAACGTCTAAATTTCAGAATGCCGCAATTTAAACGAGCAGATGTGTGTAGAAATTATTCTCAAGTATAATTACAGTCTGAGAGGTTTTCTATCTTTGTCCCTCGAGGTAGTGGGTATAGTTAGCGGCACGAAAGTCTAGCAGTGACCGTTATTGTGCATAAGTCGCGCTGATGGGCTTATTGCGCATAAGTCGCGCTGATTGGCTCGTGCTTATCGTTCGCAGGCGCTGATTGGCTCTCCAGTCGCATTCGTGCAATTTAATTCATGCGCGTCCCCTCCACGTTTCGTTCAGCGCTAGACTTACGTGCCGTGACTTGTACGAATCTAAAGCCTTCTTTGTTTCAAGTTTGCTGCAGGTGTTCGTGGACTGCAGTAGCTACTTACAATCAGGTAGACTGTAAATTCGTTTGTCATTTTAGTTTTATAATAAAAAATTGGTAGAAGTTCAAGATAATCTCTCCTAATAAGTGTAAATATTTTAGTCTCCCAAAGAGAATTGCCGCCTAGCTATGAAACTGCTTGTAAGGCGGAGCGTGAAGAGGCCAACGCCCTAAAAAGCTTTGTAAATTATTTAGTACTAGCAGAGTCGGTTGGTAAATTTAATAATGCGATTTAGGCATTTTCGGTTCTTGGTCTGTTCTTCAGTAACAACGCCTAAATAGGCCTCTCACCACGAATTCTCCATATCATCAGTCCATAAAGATATACCAGTGGAGAGGGATGGGGGAGCCATGTAAGGAGGATTTGCCGTAATCGCCACTCTTGGCAGATATTGGGCGATCACAATATCAGTCGTCGCGCCCCTTCAACGGGCCATCTCGTTGCGGGTTTGGTGATATTATATTTATTTAGGACGATTATAAAGCCTTCTGTCGAAAACTTCAAGATCTAAACCTGCGTGACGTGACTAAATCTACGTAAACGTGTTGACGGCTACGTGGTACAGTGGCTTAGCATCGAGTTGCGACGCTGAGGGCCGCGGATTAGAATCCCACAAAGAACAAGTATGACCTACACATTCAGGGTCCCGGGTCTGGATGTTACTCCTTGTATAATTTATGTTTGTAAACTGCCTCCACGATACAGGGGAAAATTCTAGTGTCAGGGTAACGTTATAAGAAAATAAAAACCTTTCTCTAAGAAGCTTACGATATCCGAGAACGAATCACGCTGTTGCGTGGTTAGTCGTTTACCAAATCAACCAAACCAAATTGCAAACGCTAGTAACAAGTCAGACGTTATTTAATCATCATCATCTTTACAGCCTGTCAAAAATCCAGTGCTGAATACAGGCCTCCGTCAAGGAATGTCATAAAGCACGATCCACGGTCCACCTGCAACCATCAAATTCCTGTATGCCTTTACCAGGTCGTCACTCCCAACTAGTGGGGGGCCCATTGCTTCTTCGGTTTACTAATCCTTGATTTTGTAGTTTTGTTTTCTGTTTCAGATGCACGAAACCTTATAGGCAGGATTCTTCATTTACATGTAGCGTCTGCCATATATCGTTCTCGTCAAATCAACAGCTAAAACACCATATAAGACGGATACACTTCAATCTTAGAGCCAAAACGCCCCAATACGAATTCAAATCAATAAACCAAGTATGGTTCGAGAAGGTTATGAACTCCCACGAGTTGATGGAGATAAAGAAAACTGGTCAAAATAAATTGGTGATGAAAAAATCGGAACCTAATTTCACTGTCCAAATCGCTGAAGTGGATAACGCGATGGACTTATCGTATTTATACCCAACAAACTCAAAATCTCAGAAGATTCAATGCGATATTTGCAAGAATTTTGTATTAAAAAAGGATTACAAAGAGCATCGCGCAGAACAACATGATTTTGCAACAGAAATATATAACAGCTTGACTTGAAATCTTTAACTTCACGGACGTATTATACATACATTTTTTAGAATTTCTGCATAGTTTTACAATTTAATAATACGGAAATTGTGTAGTAGTTAATGGATGTGAATATATTAAGGCAACTATTCAACTTCTATATATACTATACGATTTGCGTATGGTATGATTGCTTTAGCCATAGGTGTACTGTCGGCGATATATACTAAATAACTCGTCTATAAAGGATTGTGATTCTTGTTTTAAACTATTCCTTTTAATTGTTTCTAAAAAAATAGACGTAATAGTCTAAGATACCGTGGGAGAACGACCTTCTGATAAGATGTGACCTATTTTTTTTATGAAATTTTATTGATTTATAAACATGCCTATGATAGCTTGGCTTTCGAAAAGTGTTCATACCTAATTTTAATCAATTTTTTTTCATAACCTTCACTGTTTTGATAACCGAAAACAATTTTTTTTTTTTATAGGATAGGGTGACAAACGAGCACAGAGTCCACCTGATGGTAAGTGGTTTCTGTGGCCCATAGACATCTACATCTATCCTCGTTTGCGAATCAAAATGCAGATGCGTTGTCACCTGTGAGGACTAAGATGGAATGCCTCTTTTCCAGTAAAAAGGGTCTCCGGTTCTCTACACTCACCATACGTAACACAGCAGTGTTAAGCTGCTATTTCACGTTGGTATTCTGCGAGAGCGTGGTCCTTCCCCGGTCGAGTCGATCCATTCGTGCTACAACTATACTACTAATATAGCTGCAGCATGGCTCTACAGATCGTTTTGAACATGGAGAATATGTCTCGGTAGGCATGCCTACTTATTTCTGTTCATGGCTACCTGGCAAGCAGGTATAAACAGGTAAGTCAATATAGGTAACTGCAACGACATGTTAACGAAAATGATCGTATAGGCTTGCCTGCAAAAAACCATTCATAAAATGTTATTGCCATGCTTTATAGTTTTAAAGTCGGAGCAATTAAATATGCGCGAGAGAGAAAGTAGAGTGTCGCCAAGTCCGTGTGATATCGAACAGGACACAACAAAGAAGCTGCGCGTGACATGTGCGCATGCTTTTTTACATGCGACTGACAGATACAGTGTTTATTTATTGTAGACAATTATTTTGGTACAGCTATATATATATACTTATAGGTATATAATAATCATAAAAAATAATTAAATAAACTAAAAAAACATATTTGGAAATATTTTTTTATCTTAACCTGTCGAGCATGAGGTTAAAAAAAGTTACATCAAGAATGTGGCAGGGTGGGACATACCCATAATTTAATGTACCATATTTAAGTTCTTATTATTATTGTTTTTACTTTGATGACTTTATTATGTAAAATAATTAATGATTTAATACAGGTATGGGCAACCTTTGACATGTTGCGGGCCAAACTTTAGCGTGCAAATACGTTCGCGGGCCGCGTTTAAAAGTACTTGTGCATTTTAAACTAGTGATAATATTTTTTGCGATAGATATTAGACATGAAATAATACGACAATGTTATTATAGTACAATTTATTAAAATAAAATAAAATGGTACATTATAATTAAATCGTTAAATTTGCAATTGTCACAAACTACGAAAGTTAAATATACCGAAATCAATGAGACACTTGAGCTTGAATTTGGGAAACTAATCCATCGACGTATTTATTAACTTTCATCAATGAAAAGAACTGTTCGCATTTATAAGTACTGCCAAACGTACAAATCAATCTTCTTGCGAATTTTCTAAGCTGCGGAAATTGTCTTCTTCTAGGTATTTTTTGTAGAAATCGCACAACTCTATGTCTTCAAATTTGGATTTTAGGAGTGAGTTTTCTTGAATCTCGATCAACTCCATTTGTAAGTGTATTGGAGCATTTTGTAGATTTTGTATAATGTACAAAATGTAAAAAATAAACTGAAACAGTCTTCCATGTTTTTGAAGTCGCTAAATCTGTTCGAAAGTTGTTCCGACAGTAACTTGTTATTCAGCATATTGAGCATAAGCAATATTTTCATACGCAGAGAGCGTGTTGAAATGGTACCTGTTACCAGACAGCATCTGTGACTCCCACAAGCGTAGTTTGATCTGAAACGCTTTCAAATGGCTGTACAAATCATTTACTAACTATCCTTGTTTTTGAAGTTTCAAATTTAAATCATTCAAATAGCCTGTAAGATCGACCAGAAATGCCAAGTCACATATCCATTTTGGGTCACTTAATTCAGATAGTGGTTTATCTTTTTTTTTTTATTAAGTCTGCTATCTCATTTCTAAGCTCGTAAATCCGTTTCAACATTTTTCTTTTGCTCAGCCATCTGACTTCACAATAATATGTTCCGGCGTTATATTCAGCTGATATTTCATCCAAAAAATGACGATGGTTAAGCCCTCGGGATCGAATAAAGTTGATGGTTTTTACTACCACATTAATAACATTCTGGAGTCAAATGGACTTAGAACACAAGTTCTGTTGGTGGATAATGCAATGAAGGATGATCAAATCATCTTTTTGTACATTTAATTCTGTTGCTTTTTCATTCAAAATTCCGATGAAACCTTTACGTAAGCCGACCATAGAAGGTGCACCATCAGTGCATACTCCAATTAACTTTGACCATGGCAAGCTATAACTTGTATTCTTTTGAACTTCAATAAAAATATCCTCTCCTGTACTGGTTCCTTTTAGCGGCTGTAAAGCAAGCATTTCCTCAGTAACAGTGAACTCCTTATCAACACCTCGAATAAATATAGCCAGTTGAGCTGTGTCAGACAACTCGGTGCTCTCGTCTAATGCTACGGAAAATGATTAAAAACAAGCCATACGGTCAGTCAATGTTGTTTTTATATCATTAGCCATCATTTCTATATGTCGAACAACAGATCGTCTTGACAAACTAATTTGTTCAAATTCATTTTTCTTTTCAGGACACTAAATACCGCAAACTTCTAACAACTTGATAAATTCTCCTTCGGCAAATGGTTTTAATGCCTTTGCCAATTTTGAGCTAAGTATTAAACTAGCTTTCACAACATTATCAGGTTGTGTTCTTTGTTTATGAAACATTTGTTGCTGTTTTTCCAAATTTGCGGTAAGCTTCTGGATTTTTTCTGTTTTTAATTGTCCTGTCAGTGAGTGCAGCGTAGCATGCTTAGTTGAGTAATGCCTCTTTATATTGAATTCTTTCATTACTGAAATGGATTTATTACACAGCAAACAAATAGGCTTACCATTGTGTAAGATAAAAAAGAATTCTTCAGTCCATTTTTCTTGAAACTGGCGATCCTCTGTATCTACTTTTCGTTTCTTTCCACCAGACATCATTTTTGTTTACTTTTCTTTCAATAAACTTAATAACAAGCTATAGTTAGTAACCACTCAAGATGCACAGAAAGTCACAAAGCAAGATGACGGCTCGAGCAGTTCGCTAGGATATCGCTTGTCCAAGTTATCACCTCGGTAGCTTAATCCTAGAAAGATAATCATATTGAGTTATACGTAAAAGATAATCATACGTAAAATTGACTCCTTAGTTTTGAGAGGTTGTTAAATGAAGAGTTTTATAATGATTCAAGTAAAACAAAAGTATTAGTTTTCTACTACCGTAATATTAACCTTATTACCGTAATAATAATACTACCGTTTACTTATTTATATTTATTCATTTTATAATAAAAAAACAAAAATTACAAACTTCTCAATATCAACATCATGCTGTCGGCAAATAACAGCTTTACATTTTTTGCACATGGCATTTGCTTTTCTCTTTATTTTAGAGGGGCAATATTTACAGTAGCCACGTTTTTTGGCTACTGGCTCTATTGTATCCTCTTCTGTTGGCTCTTGGGCACTCATTTGTAACAAATTATTTGTAATAGTGTCCCGCAAATATCTCTTCAAAGTAGGTGCATCCAACCGCTTTCTCATGAACGGCGATGTCAGGGCCGTGTTCAGGTTTTCCATGAACTTTTTGCGATTCAATGCCTTCTCACCTTTGGTAGCAATATTGTGAGTGTATATTACATACGCATTTATACAGGCAATGTTTAACATTCCATAAAATATTGCCATAGGCCACCTGTTCGTCTTTCTACTGGAGGACATTGTAGAACACATTTGGTCCAGGGTATCGACTCCACCTTTGGTTTGATTATAATAAATAATCATTTCCGGTTTTCCAGTAGGTTCATTGATCGAAGCATCTTCATTGCATGACGATAGTAAGTAAACCATTTTAGCCGGTTTCGGTTTATAGGAGACGAGTGTGAGAGGTCCGTCAAAACAAAACATCGATGTCCCCACTGGTCTAGATCGGCTATTTTTCAATTCTTCGGGTATCTCCCGTTTGTTTGAACGTATGGTTCCTACAAGAGTCAATTTATAAGGCTCTTGGAGTAAACTCTTTGCCAAAGGGATTGATGTGAACCAATTGTCACATGTAACATTACGGTTACTACCATGTATGGGTTTTGTTAATTCCTTCACATAATATTCTCCGAGGGGTAAGCCATTCGTCTGAGTTCCCTTTCCTAAATAAGGCATTGCATTTATCATGTATTTTGTACCGATATCACACATCATGACAAGTTTAAGTCCATACTTGCTTGGCTTGTTAGGAATGTACATCCTAAATGGGCATCTCCCTCGAAAGCCGAGTAATTGTTCGTCTATTGTAACGTGAGCCCCTGGGTTATAATTTATTGTACATTGGTTGATAAACATATCCCATATTTTACGAACAGGAGTAAAGACATCATTGACTCGCAGTACCGGCCGCACATTTTTGTCGTCCATTCTAAGGCATCGGATCAAAAAATCAAAACGATCACGACTCATCACGGAGACATAATATAATGTTGAAGAAGATCGGTCGAACAACTCATCCGTCGACATATGGTTATCTTTTCTCATTGCGGTCATTACCAAGATGCCGATCAAAGCACGGATTTCATCCTCACTTGTGTCTTTGAATGTAGCACTAGTCATAGTTTCTCGTCTTTTGAAGGATATTTCAGCATTGGTCCATCTTACAAGTTCGGAAATTATTTCATCAGTAAAGAAGATGTTGAAGCATAAAACAGGGTCATAAATATTACGGCACATGCGTTTTGGACCCCTTTGAGACCTGACGATGTTCTGTGCTGAGACTCGACCACGTCTTGAAGATTTTGAGGTTGACCAGCAATGTTTATTTTGACCTCTGATATTTCTTCGTGACGGAGTTATTATTCGACGAGAAGCTGTTGAGGGAGTTCCTTGATCAGAGCTTTCTTCCCCCATGGGGTCGATTTCGAAAGAAGTTGCTGCTTCTTCTTCCCTCACTTCGTCCACAAAATCTTCTTCCTCATCGCTCTGAATGTCATCCTCGCTCTCGTGGTCTTCAACTTCGCTGTCGGTGTCAGCATAGGGTGGCTCCTCATCACTATCTAAAAGAGCGGCCAGGATGTGGTCTTCATCCAAATTTCTAGTCCCCATTATGGCTTAGCAGTATCACGATAACTAAAAAATAAAAACAATATCAGAAATAAATAAAAATAACTAATACAATAAAAAAACAACACAAATAACCATTTCACCAAATATCGTAAAAGTCACGTAAAAGATAATCATACGTAATTTTGGCTCCTTTGACTATCGTATCTCAAAATGGCGGACACTTACCTCAATGACGCGATTGCCCCACGCTAGGTCCCAGCGGTGAATGAAATGTCTGAAAAGCACGACGCCGGATTCGCAATAATTAAAAAGAGACGGCAGTATTTTGTTCGCGTGGGAGTCATTTTGACGTAGATTATCTTTCTAGGGTTAAATAGAACTGAACTAACGTTCGGTTTTTTTGCGCTCAGAAGCAATTGGAAGGGGCTACCGCGATACGCGAGGAAGGGGAGAATGCTTTATGCATACCACGACAGTCGGTCTGTCGTGGTTATGTGGGACTCACTGTGATTACCTACTGGGGAACCTAAGTGATACCCACTAAACTCCACTTTGGGAAGCGACCCTCTTTTGGGAGAAGAGGGCGCAGGCGCCTACAAAAAGCCGCTGAGGGAGAGCCTACTTAGGCAAATTTAACCCTTAATGAAATGGAAAACTTTTTTGATGAAAATTAAATATTGAGCATGGTTCTAGGGTAACTGTAGTCCGTAGATTTCTAATATGTTGTCAAAATTTTTGAAAAGGGGGGGGGGAAGTGGGGTTTAGGCGGTGGGAAATAATTTCCCTTTGTTCGTCACCGCATAACACAATATCGTCAAGTGGGAAATTATTTCCCATTATCCAATACGGTTGACTTTTACTGTAATCTAAGCAATGAAATTAAGTGAGAAATTATTTCCCATTATTCTATACGGTATACATATTTTTATATATCTTATTTATGTATTTTATATATGTATATTTCACATTTTTAACTAGCTAGTTACATTACACCCAGATTAAATAATAAACTGCATAAATTCCATAATAAAGTTTAGAAACTGCAATAAGATAATTAAATAAACCCACTATTCCCACTATCCATAAAATGCCTAAATTCCATAACAAATTTTAGAAACAATAATAAATAAAATAAAAAATAAAGACAAGCACAATGTTTTAATATCAAAAATCTCACTCTCATACAATGTAATGTTTTAGTATAAAAAATCTCACTTTTTAATCTTACATTAAAGTAAAATAGTTATTGGAGTTTGATTCTTGACCTGCAACAGCAGTATGATAATTTTTGAAGCACGTCTTAGCACACAAAGATACTTTGCAAGTGGTACATTGTATTTTAGTTCTTTGCTCTTTCTTTTTAAGACTACAAAATTTGCATCTTTTGTACGTACTAATTTCTTCTGGCAAATGTATGCCTACGTTTAATAATCTTATTTCTTCTGGAACTCCAAAGACACCACCTTTTTTATTTTTAAACTGTATGCCTTGCTGTGCGTGTCCCTTTCTTGTGGTATAGTATAGGTAGAAATCTCGATGACTGTGTATTGTTTCAACATGCGAGTCGTTGTAACTTATATAGGCATTTATAATTGAAGCGTCGAACATGAAGAAGAGAAGTCGCATCTAATATTTACGGGATTTTCGGCTTATGGGATATGATGATCTAAAGTGATCAAATAAATCTACCCCGCCTATGCTAAGGGTATATGACGCAATAGCCTTTGGACAAAGAACTTCTTTTCTCGAGCCATCTTTTTGGGTCCTTTTGACCATCATTACGTCCCGCGGTTGATGTGCCGTTGAAAGCACTGTTACTTCTTTAGTATCCATCCACTTAATGGCAGTTATTAGCTCTGCTGTAACACTTACAAATTCATGTTTTGCTAATTTCATTGATTTTGGTTGCTTTTTATTTTTTAGAACATCGGGAAGATATTTTTCTGTTGCTTCTCACTGTTCCTACTGCATAAATGTTTTTGTCAAAAAGGTCTTCCATTAGAGCACAACCCGTAAAAAAAATATCAAAAGCAACCAACGTATTTGACGGCACATTGTTACAGAGTCTCATTACGACATTGTAGCCCAGTCCCTCGTTTTCAGTACTGTCGTCTTTACCTGTGTAAATTTCAAATTGATACAAGAACCCTGTTTTTGCGTCACATCTAGCCCAAATTTTGAAGCCCCTTTTTATGGGTTTCTTGGGCATGTATTGTCGAAAAGAGCTTCTTCCTTTAAATTTTACCATGCATTCGTCGATTGATTGTATAGCTGAATTACATGCTTCACTCTGATATACCTTATTCAGTTCTGTAATAAGTGGCCTTACTTTGTATAATTTGTCGTAGTCTGTGGAGCCTCTTAGTGGTTCCGTTTCATTATCGTTACAGTGCAAATTTTCAGTAATTTTTTTAAATCTGACTATTGGAAAAACATAAAATAAAAAGTTATAATAAAAAGGATCTGAAGACCAATATAACTCTTAAGTCAGGCAAAGGATTTAAACCCATCATGATCAAAATTCCTAGATATGCTCTGATATCTTGTTCTGTGACTGGTTTCCAATTAGTACAATTTTTTTGACAAGCATTTCTGTTGGTTTGTTCCGTTATAATTAGAATTAATTTATCAGGAAAAAATCTTTTAAAAACAGCAAGTGGTTGTGTTTTGTGTGAGGTATTGGCCTTAAAACGCTTTTCAAAAATTGGAACATCATGGGTTAAGTCTTTTATCTTCCAATCTCTTAGTTGGGATCGGTCCCGAACACTGTGAAGTTGAGGCTCTTGCTCGTCATTTTCTAATATGTCGTTTATATCAATATCTTCCAAAAAAATGTTATCTGATCTTTGAATGATCACTGCTTGCTCAGGAGCTGGATTGTTAGAAGAAATTGTTTCTGAAATATCTATTGTCTGTTCTACGGAATATCTACTATCTGGTTCCTGAGTGTATAGTTCTTGAACTTGAAGTGGATTATTAGAAGTATCTTGCTCAGAAAGAGAATTTATTGAATTAGCATTGCTGACTATGTCTTTTGTTGCCGTTGTAGGTTGGTCATCTAAAACTGACAATAAACCTGTATGTGCTGCATGCATTGGCTCGACTTCTACAGTATGCTCATCTAAATTATTTTCGAGGCCAAAAATTTGTTCAAGACGACGTTCTATTAGGCAATCATCTGGTTGATTTAAGATGCTCGAAGAGGGAGAATGGATGCTATTCTCATAACAAGGATCGTCCTCAGAATCGTAGTCGGATAAATCAGATAAGTCACTCATGTTCTCAACTATTACGCTTAGACTTTTCTCTGTCAGTAGTTTTCTTTTTTTCTTATCCATTTCTGTAAATAAGTATTAAAAAGTTGAAGGAAATAAGATACAACAAAAATTAACAAATTTTGTCCGATGGTTTGTCCTAGAATTATAGTAAATGCGATAGTTTGCATTTGTTACATAATCACGTCAAAAATGAAGTAGTTTCTGTGAACAAATGTGAATAACTGTAAACGGCTTTCACGCGGGCAAAGGCGCGGGCAGTAACTAGTTTCCATATTCTTTTTTACTGTAGGAACAAACATTGGGAAATAATTTCCCACTTTTTTTAGACACGAAATTTCCAAGAATCGTTACGTTTATCAGGGCCCTTTTCAATTAAAACGGTGAGAAAATAAGTCTAGTACACAATGGTATTGCATCTATGCACTTACTTTTTTCACTAAATTTTCACCTCAACTTTGAATTACACCGGAATATTTCATAAAAAAACACCACTGCTGACTTTGACATTGACGTAAGATGACACTTATAGATTTATAGAAAAGTGTTGCCATTTATGATCTGAGAAAAACTACCATGGGGCGATTCCATTATCGCGGGTGCATCGTTTTGACGCATGTAAAGTTATATAATAATAAAATAAAAAACATTTTAAATAAAATTATTGCTGTAAGAGCTACTTTTAAACTAGTTCACTTTGTATTTCAGTACAAGAATTTTATTAAAATATTTAAGTAGCCAAGAAGGAGGTTCAAAGTTCTATCGCGGGTGCAACAAAGTTGATCGAACCTTCCTAGGTTATAAAAAAAACCACAAAAATCTGTTAATTGTGAAACATACTTTATGTTTTGCTTTAATATTTCGTTAGGGGTTAAACTAATGATGTAAACATTTAAAAATATATACAGAAAACAAAAATAAACAATGAATTATTCACTAATAAAGCAATCACGGGTGCAACGTCGAGTTATCAGGGGTGCAACCCGTCTAATTTAAGTGAATACAAAGAACAATAAAATCTTAAAGAGGTATGAAATACGAGATCAAACAATATTTATTACTAATTATTACATTTGTAATTTGTTTTAATTATTTCTTTTGAAATACGTCAATATTCGCCGAAAATTCTATGAAATTATTTTTACCATCACTCTTTTTCTTTGGCGCTTCTAACTTCGCGATAATATCTTCAAATTGCACGTCTGCTATGTCATTCACGATTTCTGTGAAATTTTTGCCATCAACCGTCGTCAGAAATTGTACTCTGACTTCTCCATCTTCATCCATATCACTCTGACACACTCCTACATAACGATATTGAGTAATTTTTTTGCCTGACTTACAGCGCAGTTGAACGAGTACGTACAAACCAGCGCAAATATCTTTGGGTAAAACATCAGCACATACATTACTAGTTTCAGGATATGCTTCTGTTGGTAATTTTGGGGGTTGAAGAGACGTTGGAGATTTGTCATTTGATGATTCGTCATCTGAATCACTGTAAATCTTGTCCCAATAACTTTTTGCTTCTGTAGTGGTTTTTAGAGATTTCAAAACCAATGTGCATTTGAGATGAGACAGTGAAGTTCGCGCCACGGTAATGCTATCGTCGCCATTTTCAGGCTGAAAGAAATGTTTTGTTTGAATTCCTGGTATATTTTTCAATCCTTCCCATTTATAATCCAACATGGCCATCTTTTCTTTAACTTCTTCTTTGGCTACGAATATAAAGAAGATGTTTTTAGAGAGAATACATGCCAAATCATAGAATTCTCGAGCACTGTTGACGATGGCTCTCCGGGACTTAACAAAAATCTACACCAATCTTTTGACACTACCACCGATTCCATCGACGGCACCTTTGCCATGTGAGGCAGCGAAAAAGTTCCATTCGAGGTGAGCAAATCCATATTCTGTTTTGAGAGTATTCATGCTTGCCATTACATACCGGTTCTTGAATTGAGCGGCGCAATTATCGCTAAAGATATACACAGATGTAATGCTATCAGAGATCGACTTGATATACTCAAATAATTTCTGGAGAAAGATATGCACAGTATATTTACTGTGGCTTAATTCATCACTTACTATGACGACTGAATGGAGTTTTTCAGTAGTCCAAATACAGCACGTGAAAAGCGTGACTTGTCCTGAGACCAATGCGCTGATTGTATTTCGTCTTGACTGATCAGAGCATAATTTTCGGCAAAGTCTATTTGTACAATAGCCTTCGCATTGGATAGGTCTTGTTTTGCGTTTTGAAAATAATCGGACTGAACAGTTTTAACAAAATAATGTAGCTTGAATTTATTAGTGCTGTCGTGTAGTTCTTCTAGCGCTTCATTAAAAGGTTTGCTTATTACAACCTGTTTTGGTCTCTGATTTTGAAAGATCCAGGCCTTCCAATTAACAGTGGGATTAGAATCTAGAGTGATATCCCAAATGTCGGATTCTTTGCATGTATCGCAACTGTCGGACATGCAATCTTCATTATCTAGATTAGATAGAAGAAGATCTTGGTGTGTTTTTGGAAAGTCTGTCGCATGTTTCGAAATAGCGAGAAGAAGATTAATGTAATTTGAGTGAGCTATACACACGCAAACATTATGAGGCGTATCGTTAATAGGGAGAATATGACCAGGTCTTTCTTTATAAAATACAGTCTTGCCAAGAGATGATTCGGGATAAGTTTCTTTAAAAGGTTCGAAGGCTTCACGAATACTCATAATCATTGTTCTCTTCTGGATTCGTGACTTCGTTCCCGTATTGGACTTGATTGTTTTCACATCTTTGATCCCAGGCATTTGTCTACTAATATCATCCCTATTATAGAAATTACAAATCTGTTGTTTTACGTCAATCGTCAGTTTTCGAGGCACTGCTTTAGGAGAATGATTTTTGTCAGATGCAGCAGCAACCTGGAATTCTGCAGCTATTTTTTTACAACCTCAAATGCTTTAGAAGGACTAGCTGGTAGATTACGTTTCACTTTTGCCACAGCCTTTCCCAATTTGCGAGGACTGATGTAACTAGTACCTGTTAGTTTTATTTGTTCTTCTCTACGACGCTTTCTAGTTGCCTGCATTCTTTCTTTTGATCTGATTCTAGCCAGTATTTTCAAATCTTCGTCAACCTCCATTTTTCTTTTCATGACTTCTCTCCGTATAGAATCACGAGCCCTTTCTCGCCGGAGTTGGTCTTTATAAAGTTCAGGCTTTTCTTTTAACTTTTTTTTATATTTCTCTTCTCTTTCTTTTATATTTCTGCGAAGCAGTCTCATTCCTTTGCTCTTCTGTCATTTTGCCGATATATCTATGAAAAAAAAATTGAAATATAATACCAACACACATTAAATAAAAATCGCCAATCATGTACAGCATATTATTAATGCTATTTAAGGCATAAAAACAGTAAAATAGATCAGGCAATAAGCTTGGTTGTCGAAGTGTTGCACTCGCGATCCTAACATCATCGCGGGTGCAACCTATTTGAGTTAAAGTTAATTTCAATTTAACTATCACTATGCTCTATAAAACTATTGAAATAAATTTGCCTTCGACTTCTTAATTTTACAAAGTTTGAATACTTTATCATTTTATTTCTGTGAAAAACACAAAGTTTTATATCTTTTGTATCGCGGGTGCAACAAGCTAACAGTGACTTTTTGTAGTCAATGATAATTAAAAAATAACAACAAATACTTAGATTTTTGGTAAATAAGAATAAAGTAATATTTTCACTACACGTTTAGGCTGTAAAATATAACCTTATACTATCGGTGACAGATGTTTTGCGCCAGTGTTGCCCGGTATGACTTTGCTGTTTATACCGATTCTTCGAATGATATTTTTTCTAAGCGCGCCTAAAATTTTAATATGAATTAAAATACAAGAATTATGTTTTATTATTACATTTTGACCTTCTTCTTTGCACTGATATAAAACAAAGTAACAAATAGAGTGATTTAAAAATGAATGTCAAAAATCGTCTATAGCGGAATCGCCCCATGGTTGTATTTGTCTATGGTTGACATTGCTTGGTGTTACGAATGATAAAATAAATCGGATTATGTTTGAACGGAACAAGTGGGTTATTATTTCCCAGTATTTGATTAAGGGTTAAGAAGAATCAGCCTGAGCCGCCAGGAGGCAGTTCAGGTCGGTTGAAATTTTATTTGTCGGGTCCGAGAGAGAGTTTCTCGGCCTGCGGACTCGGTAGCGAGAGGGGAGTGGGGCTGCATAAGTAGCTGCCTCACGAATAAAATGATTGGAATGAGACTCTGAGGCTTTGAAGAAGTTCTCGGAGAGTGTTTTTAGAAATTGTTGGATTGTAGGGAGCTCTAAGTCCCGATGGAGGTCGGCATTACGAACGTACCAAGGTGCGTTCGTAGCTCGACGACAAGAGGTTTTGAACTACTTGGAGTTCATTTTTAATTTTAGGGTCAGCGTGGGCAAAAATAGGGCCCGCGTAAGACATGACTGTAACGTTCGGGCCATCCACCCGCTTATATAGGCAAAATTAAGTAATAATCTGGAATAAACTAGTTTAGAATAATTGAGAAGCAATAAATCTTTGATTTTTTTTTAATTTTTGCACAAGCATTGCAGGAATATTTGGTTTTTTTATCCTTCTTGTATGGAAAGTCCTGATATCTGAAATATCGTCCGGGTATACTCACATGTCTAGGCGAGGGCTCACCGAGCTGTTTTAAGATTCGCTGGCGGATGTAGCTTGGAATATGCTTTTTTGATTTTCTTGCATGTAGGTGTTCGTAAATCATTGAAAAGACCAAATTACGAATGAATTCCGTTCTCTTGATTGTGACGTTTTTGTTTGCTCGGTATATAATGCAAGCATTGATAGCTGCCATATTCAATACACCATAGAATAAAGTCATAGGCCATCGTTTACTGTTGCGACTGACATTGTAACTGGCACTTAATTCATCAACCACGTCAACGCCAGCTTTGGTCGAGTTATGAAATGTTATCATTTCTGGCTTTTGTTTCTCGCCTGTAGATACATCTATTGAATTGTCATGGTGCATAGTGGACATAACAATA